AATTTTGTCATGACCAATTCTGTAGGCATCTGAGACTTCATTTGATGATACGGTTGATTCGCACTTGTAATAGTCTGCATCGATTTCGTCCTCTTTCAATTCAAGAAATAGCAAAATCATTTTATGAATTTTCTTTCCTATCTCACAATCGATATGAAGTTGAGTGATATTAAAGTAAAGACGTTTAGCAATCAAACAAAAAATATTACGTTGTTTTAAAATGCCCACATTGTCACATTGTGAATAAATTAAATCATCCCTAGACCTTGCTAAATCTGATTCTAACTTCTCAATCATATGCGCCTCTCTTCACTTTTGTTCGAAACCCTGCCGAGTTGATCAGTTAAATTAGAATTAGTTAAACGGGTTCGTTTTAGACTATCACTGAAACTTGAAAATGTGAATTTTAAGTCATTTAATTCAGTTTCATCTGAGATGCAGGATTATTTAGAGAATTAAGAATGGAATTTATCTTACGGATCATCTTTTCACATTCACTGATCTGCTCCAAGACAAGTTTCGCTACGAAGCAGTTGTTAGGGACCGACCGTCATCAGTGGTGTAACCCTTTCTCTCTAAAACGTCTTTGCTAACCATTAAGCATCTTCCACTGAACTGTGAAACTTAATCCTTCGCAACAAAGCTTTTCCCGTGAGTTGGCCTTCGAACCTCTTTGTTCTCTAAATCAGTTGACCAAACTTCGACTCTTCCAAACTCATCATCCTATTCCTACACAATCAAAGCAGGTTTAGTGTCATCAACATTTCTTTTCTTTTTGAACTCCTCAAGCTTTCGGAGATAATAAGCCTCATTATCCTCTCCCTCTTTCTTCTCATTTAATCTCCTTAACATGCACTCCTTAGCCAAATTATTTTTGTCATGACAATAGTTGTAGTCATAGCCGAAGTCACCCATAAGCGTCTTCTCCTTCTGAGCGCATCATATGTACAACCTAATTTACTATTTCTAGCTAGTGGAATCAGAATGCTAGGTCGTATGCCTTTTACTATTTAAATTTAATTTTTTCAAATTAACAACTACAATGTTGACTAAAGAATGTTGTTATTTGGATAGTCACGTCAATTCTTATTTAAATAAAGTAAAAGAATGTATAATAAGTAAATATGGATCGCGTAAGGTTACAGATAATTAAATAACTTTTTGTTCAGAAGTGCCACTTTTGACAAATCAATTTTTATTTAAAAGTAGATGTCGAAAAAACAAACATACTCATATTATTTATGCTGTGAAAAATTATTATACTTGTTGGTGATTTTAGTGTCACCATATCATTTTAAGTAACTGGAACTAACATGTGAGCTAAGGGGCTTCATGGTTTGTACTCTAATACATGTATGGGGTTGTGCGGAGTGCACGCATGTATAAGATCGAGTCAGAAGTCGGTTCGATGACTACTCGGGGGTCCGGGGTTTCCAAAGGGGCAGCGCCCCTTTGGCGGGGTCTAGGGGTAGCGCCCCAAAACCTCACCGAATTTTGCATGTGGGAACATAATGAAAAATTCAATTTCTTGAGGGTGATTATGGTAAAACTAACGAAACTCGTTAGTTTTTGGTAACCCTAATTCGGATTAATATTACTATCTTCCAAAGCAACTAATGGCGGCCCAACCATAATGAAACCCTAATCGTGTTTAGTATATAAATAACTCTTCCTTTCCAGAAGACGGTTGTTCTTTAGCTCTCGTTTTTCCATCACACATTCACACACACACACACACACTTACTGCAGCAGCAGGATGCTACCCTTGGTTAAGGACGACAATCGACCACCAAGTTCACAAGACCATAGAAATCGTAGGGCCTGTGGCAAGAATTAACCACACCACCCAAACACACCCACCCTTTGGTGGCTGTCACTGGAAGAAGGAACAAGTCAACGATCGTGATTGCGGAAGTAGTGGTGGCTATTCTCTGTTGCCCAAAGAAAAAGAAAAGAAAGTGGAAATGAGATGATTTGGTACTTAATACGGTTAGATTATGATCTTTAGGATTGGTGTATCGAATTCTCTATTAATTCATTGATTCCTAATTAAGTTTGAACATTTGAAAAAGTCTCCTCTCCTTATTAAACTATGACATCAAACTACGACAGATGTTAGTGTATAGACTGCCCATGGCCGGTTCTTGTAAAATTGTTATTATATTTGTTATTATGTGATTTAGAAATCAAGGAGAAGATCCACAATTACCAAATCTTTAGGCAGGCAAGAAACAAAAACATCATGTCTAGTCTTCTGATTCTTGATTTCGATCAATCTCAGTCCACATGACTAGTAATTGACTAGTAATTGTAACACGATGCTTCTCGTTAACAAAGTAATATACTTTTAATGTTTATTCAAAAATATTTAACAAGACCAACTTAACCAAGATATAATTAGTCATCTCATACCTTCAAGACACGAGTTTTCCTATTGAAATGGAATCTATTAAAAGGATTGAGCACATCATATGTAAAGCCTAATTGACTATTTCTAGCTAGAGAAATCAGAATGCTAGGTCGCATGCATTCTACTATTTAAATTTAATTTATTCAAATTAACAACTACAATGTTGACTAAAGAATGTTGTTATTTGGATAATCACGTCAATTCTTGTTTAAATAAAGTAAAAGAATATATAATAAGTAAATATGGATCGCGTAAACTTATGGATAATTTAACTAACTTTTTGTTCAAAGATGCCACTTTTGATCAAATCAATTTTAATTTAAAAGTAGATGTCAAACGAACAAACATACTCATATTGTTTATGCTTTTAAAAATTATTATACTTCCATAATTATAATTATTAAGTAAGTTATTTATATGGTTATGTATAATTTGGGTTCATTAGCACCAACATCCCATGCATGTATGTTTCCCAACTTATACTCTTATACCATATGGGAAGTCTATATCAACGTCCATGCAGGATCCCACATATACTGATTATTCTAGAATTAAGCATTCAAACGAAGTTGTTTTGGGTTTCAATCTCACATACTAAAAATTTGGTGGGCCGCCATTCTAATTAAATAAAGTTTATTTAATATCTTATAGAGTTTATACGTTTAGATAGATTGAGCTGTGAAAGTCCAAAAATAAAGCTTAATGTTATAACGTTATTGTTCTACCAAAATATTGATCATAATGTTTCAGGATTTACCCCCACAGGATAACTCTATGGCGGGTTCGGTGTAGGCCGTCCAAATGATACATTTTTTTTTTTCACAGTACGTATCCCAAGTCTAAAGTTGTACTGACCCAAACTATCTTAATAAAAAAAAACATAATTTTAACAAAAACCATATATATATATATATATATATATATATATATATATATATATATATATATATATATATATATATATATATATATATATATATATATGTAGAATTATTTTCGGCCCAAATCATAATGAGGCCTCGGGCCGTCGCCTGGTTTGCCCACCTACTGGTCGGGCCTAAATGTAAAATTACCACAATGCACTTCAATCGAATAAACGATCATGGCGACCAAATAGGAGTTTATAATTCTCATTTTGTTTTTTAATTTATAATGAAATTTGTTCGGTGATCATTATTATACAATCATAACTTTTTTGTAATTTTCAATTGTATATTCAATTAATAGTTACTATTTTTTTCACCTCATAAATATATAAATAGTTAGTGACCACTATTTTTTGTCACTAAGTTTATAATTCAGTGACCATTATTTTTGCTCACTAAGTCGCCAATTCATTGACCACTATTTTTAGTCACTAAGTCTCTAGAGCTACTATTTTTCATCATTAACCCTCCAATCCAATGACCATTATTTTTCGTCACTAAGTCTCCAATATAGTGACCACTATTTTTGGTCACTAATACTTGCTATGACGTGTACAAACGTAATTATTTAAACTATATTCTACATTTTAGTGACGGATGAGTGATGACCATCATGATAGTGGTCATTAAATTTGTAATATTACCAAAATTTAGTGACGACTAAATATATGGTGATTAAATGATGTTATTAGTGATCACATTTTAGGTCGTCACTAAAAACTGGTCACTAAAATAGATTTTTCTTGTAGTGACAGTTGAAGTCCCTAATATTAAATTAATATCTTTTAACCACAAAATTAATTTCTTAATTAATTGTTGTCTAATATTAATTTAATTGTGTCATTTCTCCATTAATATATTATTCATATAACATATTAATAAATCATAATAACCTCTTTCTTAATAAATCATCCTATCATGTTGCTTCGGTGAAGACAACCCAAAAGAATCATTCACAACCGGGTCAAGTACTTTACCAAATATAGTTACGGGCTTAGACACTAATCCAACATTTTTTTGCCAATGTAGTCAGAGAGCTTAACCTATAATTCATAAAGTTCTTACAAAGTTATGAAATCTGGGATTTTATGTAGATATAATCATTATGTATATATAATCATTATGAGTCGATTTAGTTACGTTGATGAATTCTTGCTCAAAAAAAAGCTCCGGCTTCAAAATCTGGTGCAACATTTCCGACCAGTGGAAGGCCCTATAAACACTAAAATACATTCCAGAATTTCAAATCCATACCGAATACATCTACTTCCATAATCAACAAGAACATGATAATAAAATTTAGATATTGGTATAACGATGTTGTACAACATAGTTTCAATTTTTTGAATGAACTAATGTCTAATGTGCGATCCTCACCACACAACTAAACAAAGTGAGGGATTCTGAGCTACTTACAACTTTGACGACGAATCCATTCCGATGGGAGGTGGAGGGACGGAGGGAGAAGGAGGAGTGAAGAGATTTAGATTGGAAACTGACTTCGATTGAGCCTACCAATTGAGCCTACTGATTGAAGCGTCGATTGAACATAACGATTGAAGACTACTGTGGTATTTCTGGTTAATCGGTAACGGGAGCGATTGAAGCTTCGATTGAACAAACTATTGCCGGTTTGATAGGGAGAGTGACGACAAGAAGAGAGGCTATGGTGTCGGCGTGTTCTTTTTTCTTTTCGTAAGAATGAATATCAAAAACCCTAAAACGACTAAGGTAAGGAAATCAGGTATAAGTTCTTTTGCCCTATTTTTTTAAAAACAAAATTAACAAAATAAAAAAATTTAATATATATTTTTTTAAAAAAAAGACGGGTACTCGGAGGTACCTGTTCCGGTTAACCGCTGGTTCCGGGTACCCAGTATCGGAACCGGAACCGGCGGGTATCCAGCGGGTATCGGTTTCGTAAAAATAAAAATTGGAACCGGAACCAGCGGGTATCCAACGGGTATCGGTTTCGTAAAAATAAAAATTGGAACCGGAACCGCCTAAGGCGGTTCCTGTTCCAGAACTCACAGTTCTGAGGCAGTTCCGGTTTCGTAAGCAGATACCCGCTTCCGCTGCTCATCCCTAGTTTTAACGTTATTGTTCTGCCAAAATATTGATCGTAATATTTCAGCATTTACCCCCACATGATAACTCTATGGCGGGTTCGGTGTAGGCCGTCCAAATGATACATTTTTTTTTCACACTACGTATCCCAAGTCTAAAGTTGTATTGACCCAAACTATCTTAATAAAAAAAAAACATAATTTTTAGACAAGAGGAAGTATAAGAAAGAAATATGATGTAAAATGTCTTAATAAGACAATGTATTTATTAGATAAATTCATAATTAGAATTTGACCACATGCTTTTAAACATCTTTGTTAGCATGGAGATCATATACACTAGGAAAAGAAGCTGACAGAAAGTAGCATTGTTGCTAGTTTTTCATGAAAACAATTAAAAGAATTAATAAAATGATCGGGGGTTTTAGAAAACAGGAATACTCTGTGGGCGCCTAAAGAAATTGTGAGGATCAACTTTGGCCTTGATTCGAATCAACTTCTTGAAGTTGTCCCTCTTCCAGTATCTCTCACCCCAAACACTTGCTTCTTGGTAGTTAGTACTTCCAACACCCAAATCCAGATCATTGTAGTTGGAATATGCCTCTCTGGGGTTGTTTGACACATAAGGCGTCATTAACGCATCCAAGCTTCGCAGCCAAGCTATCCTCCTGAGGGACGTAGGGGTTGTGTCTGAAGGTTGACCGTTAAAATTGACAGTCTTTAGAATTTGTAACAACACCCCCGCTCTATGAGGATACGGAATTGCTGTCTCGGAGAAATCAGCCATCCTTCCGCCAAATGGATTGATCATCAGAAGCGCCGATTCATCGTTTTGGATAAGCTTTCTCCATATCTTCTTGAGTCCTCTTATGGGGATGGGTGCCCGGGTGTAGTCTGATTTGCTTTTGTTGTTCAGCTTGGCAATGGCAGATCGGTTCGTAAGAATCTCGGTCGGGGTTGAGCTTGGCAACCCCCAAAACACAAGGGTCGACTGCACCATTCTAATTTCTTCACAAATCTCTCGGGTAACACCGAGCTCTGGAAATTTTCTGTAAAGCAACGGAAGCAATGTGTCTGTTGTGCCCTGATATATTCCTTCAAACATAATTCTTATGGTTTTCTTGGTGGTGTTGCCGATATATTCGGCAAAAACTTGAGTTCTTATGTGCAAATTTCTATCGATATTTGGTGCAACGTATTGATATTTATGGAAGATTTCGGTTGCCCCTTGTTCCAAAGTTTTATTGAGTATAAAGACAGTTACTTTTTTTGGAACTGGAACCAAGCTCAGCTTCCATGCAAGAACAATTCCAAAACTTGAAGATCCACCTCCTCGGATCGCCCAAAACAAATCTTCTCCCATTGATTTCCGGTCGAGAATATTCCCATCAACATCCATGAAGCGAGCATCCAGAACATTATCGGCTGCAGTACCGTATTTCCTCAACAGGTTTCCGTAGCCACCACCGCCCATGTAACCACCAACACCCACCGTAGGGCAAACACCTGCCGGGAAATACAAGGTATCCGTCTCTCGTGAAATTTTGTAGTAGAGTTCACCAAGCGTAGCGCCTGCTTGGACCCAAGCAGTCCTTTTTGCTACGTCCACGTCTATAGACCTCATGTTGGTGAAATCAAGCATAACAAAGGGAACATCAGCAGTGTATGAGAGGCCCTCGTAGTCATGGCCCCACTCCTGATCCTGATCTCGTAGCCGTGTTTCTTGGCGCAGTATACACATGTTTTTATAAGGGTTTCCTCCATAGGTGTCACGATCACTGATGGTCTAGGCGTGGAGGGTTTAAGGAACCTGGTGTTTTGAACTGCCACTTGCCAAATGGGTAGGAAGGAAGCATTGACAGGGCTGAAAATGAGTTGAGAAATGGCAGTGACATTGTTGGAGTTGGACTGTAGGCAGCTTATTAGATCGCCAGAACTTGAGGTTGATAAGGACGTTGCCCATGAAACAGAAAACAAGAAACTTAGAACCATGAGCAAAACTGAAGATCTAAGTTGACACTTCTTCATGTTTAGTTAATTTGGTGAGCTTGATCAATAGCAATGGCGTATTTATATACAGCAGAGAGCATACAGTTGACTTCAAATGGGGTTATAAAAATTGTGATCGGTTCAAATTAAGGTGTTTGAAAAACCTCGGAAGGAGGATGGTGATCAATTCAAAGATGTTTGAAAAATGCGGGAAGGAGGATGGTGTTCAACTGATTCTATTTTAGGGTATACAGGTGCAGCGTTGAAGATATATGGCGTGTTGACTTTTTCCCTATAGACTACTAAATTCGCATTCTAAAAACCAATGAAGCAGTGAACAAATTGATATTACATATGTTCAGATTTTTAGCCTTTTTCTTTTAACTTTCGGATTGAAATCTTTGCAAAAATTTGAACAACACACGTTTTTTAGAATAATTATCAAACTTATAAATAAAACGTATCTCATCAAATGTATATTTTTCTCAAACATAAATTGAAATTATTTCTTACAAATATATGTGCTTTAATTTCCTGGCACCGTATACCAAGTCCTGGGACTAGCTAGTTTGTAGATAAAGTGTTGACTTTGACTTTGGAATATAAGCATACAAATAACATAGCGATTTTACTTTTAACATCAATTCAAATGCTGTGCTGTTATATAGGCATTTTGGGAACCGGCTTCACGCTCCTCTCCGTTCTTAATTAGTACTCAAAACCTAAAAAATATGATTAAGTTTTTTAATTATACACTTTTAATACATTATTATTTATTATATGGAAAAACTAAAATTAACATTTAAAATTCCCTAAATAGAAGTAGAATTTTCAGATAGTAATGAACACACATAATCTAAAATAGAATAAAATAAAAATAGAAATTGTGTGATAATTAGGCAAAATAAAATTTGGAGACTTATATGGTGAAATTTGGGGATCAAACATCGGCAAGTTGCCTACGCACACAAGGCCTGTTTGGTTGCTACCACCTACGGTCCCAGCCAATGGTCGTTTGGAGGTTTACACAGTGAAACATTCGTGCAGTTGGTTCTCTATCCGAATACAAGACCTGTTTTGCTGCTAACGGTCGTTTCAATGTCAATGAGAAGATTGTGATGAGGCATTCACACCGGTTGTCAAACCGAAAAGAAGAACACATTATCATCTGCCTATCTATCTGCTAGATGTGAAGAAACCATTTGTACACGACCACATGAAGGAGGCAATGTGCATGCATCGACCAACATGTTTTTGGGATATCAAGTATACATCTTAATCATATTTGATACCTTTAGAAACTATTATGTTGTCTTAATAAATGCCGAAAGCATCATACATTTGATTTGATCAACGTGCTATTAACATCGGCTTTCAACATAATTAAACTATAACATCCCAAAAACATAGAAAATTAAAATTTTCAAAAAAAGAACCCATTTCAACCATATGGTATTTACGAAACCATAATTTCAAATGTATAAACACAATCAGAGCTTTTCCCAAGATCTAATATCATAAAAACAGGAAAATGTATATGATCACACCTTCATTTTTCCACGATCATCAAAAGTACCTGAAAGAATAAACTGAAACTGTAAGCCAAAACTTACTGAGTTCCCCCAAATTACCACAACACAAACAATATTATATGAAATTTTGCATGTTGGGTCCATAACCTCCTGGTTGGCTTACCATGGCCCACAACATCCGGGTTGGACTACCTTGCATATAACGTATTGGTTCCACAACCTCCCAGTTAGATTACCCTGGCCCATCACCTCCCAGTTGGATTGCTCTGGCCCACAACCTTCTAGTTGGATTGCCCCGGTCTGTGGACTGACAACACAAAGCAGTAGTCTCAACCAAAACATAATATGTCCACATATAATTGATAACAAACATATTCAACGGACATATAATCATATAGCTAGGAATCACAGGTAGTCCTACAAATCTATTAGTCTAACGTACATCAACAGCCATCATATAATCATACATGTCTACCACATAATCAACATATCATCAATCAATACATATCAGTAGATCAACTTCAATGGGCAGACCTTGGGGCCTTCGACCCATAAGTACAGTAAGGAAAACGCACATCTTAGTCTGAACAAATAGATGAATAGATCTCTACTACGAGTCTCAGCTCTACTTGTCACCTATACAATAGATACAAACCAATCTCAAATACAACTCAAAATACCCAAAATACACTTAGGTTAACTTGGCTAAAATTGGTCAAAGTCCAAAATTCAACGTATAGCTAACCGCCACGTTGTGGCCTTCCTTGGCCATGTTGTGGCCATAAAATGCCAAAACAGACGAGCCTTAACCCAATCGTCACGACATGGTTGTCCAAACCACACCATGGTTACTATTCCTCGAACCTCTTAATGGAATAAGCCGATTTCTTCCATCTCTGGGGCTCCAAAGCCTAAATCTGGTCTATTATGGGGTCTAAATGGATAAAGTTCCAACTTTATCCCTTAAGTCCATCCAACGAATAAGGATCTTAAATTCTATGTTCAAAAGAGCAAACTCTCAACATGGCTTAAACATTAAGCTCCTAATCCTTGAAGTCCTTTCCTCTAAAACTCATTTTTGATCCCAAATAACATTCTAATCCATAAAGTTTAAAAATTTATGAACTTTCATGGCTATAAAGTGTCCAAATCATAAACACTAACATTTCAAAATGCAACAAGTAATCAAATGCATGCATGGAGGAAAAGAAAGGGTCAAGATTCTATTTTATAACTCTAAACACCCAAAAACATCTAAAAAGGAAACTCATTGGATCTTGAGTAGTCCATACTCACAGGGGCGGAACACGAATATTAGAACTAGAGGGGCCGAAATCAAAACTTCAATATAAAAATTGTTTTATATGGTTCAAAATTATGACAATTATAAGTAAATTTTTAGTCATACTAAATTACTTCCATTTGGTAGGTACGAAAGGATCATATATGTAAATCTTATATGAAATGGATCATATATGTAAATTTAAGGATTATTTTAATGTTTATGTAGTTATTCACAGTTATATCTTTTAAATAAATCAACAAACAAGTAATAAGCATCTAAATATTTAAAATGTCGGAATTGATTTATAGATACTAATAAACAATAAACTTACATATAAAAATAAATAGTTTAATCCAATAAAAGAGCAATGTGAGCTTGTTAGCTTGACAACTTTACAGTTTTACAGGGAGTAGTCACATTGCAAACTATAGGGACTAGTTATAGGGACTAGGTTTAATCACAATTTTAAGCTCTTCTTTATGTATTAAATAACCAAGAAAAAAATAGAGAAAAGGAAAAAAGAGGCTACCCACAGAGCAGTGGGACTTGAGGAAAACCGGCTCTGACATCCAACAAAGACGAGTGAGAGAAATAGAGACCATACCATAAACACATGCAATGAACACCAAAAGGGCGTACAAAGGTAGCAACGATTTAAGCGTACGACATTGTTCTTCCAGTGTGTTTTGAGAGGTCTTTCACTGCGTCAAAAATATAATTTTAGGTTTATAGATTTCTTAAACTCAAAGTTAAATGGCTTTAAATTTGATTGTATCTTTGGATATTATTTATTTTATAGATTTAATCGGTATATAGCTTTTATTTACAACAGATTCCTAAAAAAAAGGGAATTAGTTTTGATGTGTGATTTTGTTTAGTGATTTTCTGAAAGCTTGTCATCAGGTATTTATTGTTTTAGTTAAAAACTAAATTGTATAAATTAAATTTATTGCTTATACTTAAAAATCTGGAAAACGGGAGGGCTAATTTTTCATTCTAGTAAATATTTTATAACTTGATTATGTATAATAGGTATTATGAGCTTCAAAAGCAGGGGGGGGGGCATGGCCTCCCCTGGCTCCTAAATGGGGGTCCGCCACATCATACTCATTTAGACCAAAAATATGGGACAAAAGCACATACTTTCTAACATTAGCAAGATATAGAGAGATAATCATCAAGTTGAAAACTTTATATCTCCTAGGGGTTGCTCAAGAAGTGTACAACTTAGATCTACAAGGCTTGGAGCTTCGTTCTTGCTTTCCAATGGCTTCCTTCCCTCTAAAATAGACACCAAACACCAAAATGAGCTCAAAACACCACCAATGGAGATTAGGGTTTGAAAGGAACTAAGTGGGCAATGGAGGCTGATGAGGGTAAAAGGTCTTCAGGGTTTATGAGTCTTAAATAGGGTGAAAACCCTAGAAATTAGGGTTTGTCCAACAGCGGTTAACACATCGTGCCACATATTGCCATTTCGTGGTGGTCTTTCAAAAACCTGCGACCCAAAAAGAATTACCACGCCGTGATGGAACTCTACTATTCCGTGACCACCCAGAAACATAAATCACTGAAATTTAGAGTCATACATGGAATCGGTGTTACACAAACTGATTCATTTATTTTTATCTAACAATCATTCAATGCTATCAGATACCAGCTTCTATATGCATTACATTATTTTCACAATGCTTTCCATCGAGCTTCTTTAAGAGTTAGTTCACTAGTGAATTTGCTATAATATCCCTTGGCACACTTAAATTATATTTTAGGCATTTCCTGTTTATTCACTTAAACGACTATTTTTATATCAACAAAAGTATGGAACATAGATTCTATGTGTGTTATTATACAACACTAAAATCCCATATCACCATTCGATTAAGTTCCAAAATTGGATTCGATAGGCATCCTGATAGATTATCCTACTTTATA